AACTTCATGCGGCATGACGATTCATATGAGAAACTAAAACCATACTTAATCTGTATTAATGGAGCTGTTGATAGATTTCAGCGTATGGTCATATGACTGCATGCTTACTCCACAAGTAATAATCCCAGGGTTATAGCTGGGTACTTTATTGATGAAGACAAAAACAGGAGCAGAACTCCAACACGTATCAGGTCAGACCTTAGTACGGAGAACTGTTCAGAGGAACAGATGCAGATATTTTTAAGAAGTAATCATGAAATGGAGTTTTCTGAGAGATGCTACATTACTGGCTAAAGTAATCATGACCAAATATATAGATAAGATCTCTTAATTATAAGACATTTTCTCATGATTACGAAATCTCATAATTACGAGATCAGTATCTCGTAATTATGAGATAAGCCGTCTGAATTTTTTTTCTTTTGTGAATGCAGTAAGCTTCCGTAGGTTCCTCTGGTTAAAGGGGAGTTTATATTCTTACTATTACTGCTACATACATGTTTGGTATGAGGGATTGATGCAAAGTCAATTGCTCAATACAAGTAGCTGTCCACTGCCACTACACAAATTCTGCTACTCAATTAGTTTATTTAATTTGCTGCGTTTCTTGAAAATGAAAATAAAAAAATGCTTATTTATTTTTATTAAATTGTCTCTGTAAAGTGTCTTGGGATCACACATGTTTAAAATAGGTGCTACTTAACTAAAATCATATGAATGGTATTGTAATACATGAAGAGAACCCACTTATGAGGGGGGGGGGATTTTCTATGCACAAAAATTTCAGGCTGGGACCTATAAACGTATTAACTTAGTCATGATTAAAAGGCCCTTAAAGAAGCTAAATGTTAACCACGACAAAATGAAAAAAAGTTTGGGCTTCAACATCACACTCATTTAATTAAATTAAATTCAGTTTATTTATATAACGCCAACTCACAACACATGTCATCTCAAAGCACTTTACAGTTCACCATCTCATATACAGTCAAATTGATTCAAAGTATTCTATATAAGGAAAACCAGTTAATGGCATCAACTCATTGACTCAAAGGTAATTCCTCACATTAAGCATGCTTGTAACGACAGTAGAGAGGAAAGCCTCCCTTTTATCCGGAGGAAACCTCCAGCAGAACCAGGCTCAGTGTGAGCGGCCATCTGTTGAGGGCGACTGGTGTTTAAGGAGACAGAAGCAGAGATACAAAAGGCAGCTGTGAAAGGCGGCCCCATCCAGGAACCACACAGCCAGGCAGTC